AGTAACAAGTGCCTTACTAGTAACAATGTTCGCTACTAGGAACAAGTGCATCGCTTCGAGCAACAAGTGCCTTACTAGTAACAATGTTCGCTACTAGGAACAAGTGCATCGCTTCTAGTAACAAGTGCCTTACTAGTAACAATGTTCGCTACTAGGAACTTTTTACCTGTAAAGGACGAAAGGTCAACACTTCATCTTTGACCAAAAAACGGTGAAAGCCGCTAAGCTGTGGAGCTGTAGAGTAAAGCAAGGTGGATGCCGCACGGCCGATGGAGATGCCACTGCTACCGGGGCCTGTGGGTCGGGGAAGCACGGGGGCCCGGGTCTGTCCAGATCGGACACACTGACAACACGACCTACACGGCTTGAGGGAATGTCCTTCAATCATTTGTTCTATTTTTTCCCAAGGAAAAGTCCTCTTAAACTGCATGTGGAACACAAGTCAGACTTGTCTCTCGCTTGTTTGGGTGGGCTCTGCAGCCATCAGACAGTCAGCCACAGCGTGCCATCTGGAGTTATTGCAATGTCAATGGCTTCTGATCCACCAAGTCTTGCGCAGACGCTTGACAAACTTGTCAACTTGCAAGTTTGTGGTAACTGTTGTCACAAGTGACGATATATGAGATTGACTTGGAGAGGGAGGGAAGCAGCGTCGTTGCACAGTTTCAGTATCCAACGAGCTAATTCAGCCAAATGGAGAGAGGAAACGACGCTCGACACACGTTCTGTGTAGATTCGATCTGAGGACATATATGCGTGGACCATTGGTACCTCATGGGCATGGGAAGCCTTTAAGCAAGGAGGTCGGCAAGCCATTTGCATTGACTCCCTTAAGAAGCTACTAGTAGCGATACACATTCTTGACTCTTGAGCCATTTGGCGCCATTGCTGGGAGAGGAGCTGGATGGCTTGAAAGAGGAGCTTGCCAGCATCAAAAAGGCGCCCACAAAACCTGCAGCTCTGCTTTTTTAAAGCCTTTTTCTGCTTGTGTTGCTTGCCACTTTGTTTGAGAATTCCTGGCCCTAATCCAGTCTGGGAGGAATTTGGTCTGGTTGAACCAGAGAGAGCCTTCATGGATGAGAAGGGTGTCCAATGGAGGCCCTGTTTGCTTTCAAACAACCAGTTGGAGGCCATTGCTGTTCTCAGCAACAGGTTTGGAGGACCGCCCGACTACACAATTGCCAATCTCTACTACCTCAAGGTGCGCATTGCAGAAAGAAGAAGAAAGGAGAAGCTTGAGAAAGCTCAATGCTTCATTCGCTGCTCCAGTGTTGTTTGGACAGTTTACATATGTTTCAATGTCGGAATGCAGGGCAAGACAAAGAATCATCCTCCCGGGTCATTGGAGATGATTGTGGAGAACCTGGTGCCTGAGCCGAATTTTCTTCTTTGAGCTCTATTTAGTTGTTCTTTTTTTTGTTTCTTTTTCATGTTTCTTTCCCTTTGTTTTCGTTTCTTTTTGCTCTTTGTTTCTTCCTACCGATCCGAGCAAGTGAAGTGACGAAGCCAAGCAAACGATTGAAGCCGAACGAAGAGACCGAACGAACGAGAAAAAGACCGCCACTCATTTGCTCCATTTTGCTCCGTCGCCGGCTGTTTCAGGCCGGGCATGAAAAGGTGTATGACTGTGGACTAAAACATGCTAAAACTGTTCTCGACAAGCAAAGCTGCCATGACCAAACGAACCAAGCATTTGACACATTGATATACATGTAGCCTGGAGGAACGGTCAATTGCTAAGGTGAAAACCTGGGAAATGGAACGGTCTCACAAACTGGATCCCAACAGTCATCGAAGTGTCGACCCCAAGCGGCAAGGACCTCAGAGTGTAACCGGCAAAAGTGTAGTGATGGCCGTTGGTGCTAGTAGTAAGGCCAGCAGACCCTAGTAGCGTCCTTTGCTCCTAGTAGCGGTTTTGTTTTCTCTTTGCAGCCTGGCACGGCAGCCTCCGCTTTACTTGGAGGTTCCACATCAGTGCAAATGGAGGGACCAAATTTGACAACGACCAGGCCAACAAGGCAAGACAGCGAGAGTCTCCAGCTGTGCTTCCAAACACCGCGACCGAAAGGAGATAAAGAGTTGATACCACCGGTCGGTATCTGTTTTTTTGGCCGACCTCCACCTCATACTGTGGGCAATGGCCTCCAAGCTAGTTGACGGTGATACCCACCGCTGACTGCTTTTTGCACCGTAGCGGGTGAGAAGCTGCGCAGGTGGGGAATTACAATGTGTTGCTTGACAAGTGTCCCGTCGAGCTCTACGACGTGGATAAGATCAATTGGGACTGGGTCTTTGGTGAAAACAGACCATTCAAATGTCTAAGGAGAAAAGGAAGGAATAAGGCAAGAGACATGAAGAATTCCAAGTTGAGGGTTGCAAGTAGTTTTAAGGTTCACTAGTTGCAAGTGTTTTCTTATTTTTGTGTCCTTTTCCTTCCGTCCACAGTTTTCCAAAAAAAGGCCGAGGCAGACGCCTGCTTCCTTGAAGCCTGAGTTGAGAGTGCGTCCAAGATACAAAGAAAAGAACCCAAAAGATGCGTCCATGTATTTTACTTATACAACATTTATAAATACATAATAGAATACAAACTCATTTTCTATTTACGGTATTCTGTTTTTATGTATCTTATTTAAACAAACTAGTAGCTGACAAGCAAAAAAACATAGGAGCGTTCGTCATTCTCCGTAAACAGTAGCTTCGGAAGCTCAGTAGCTCTCGTCAACCTAGCGGCCACCTGCAAGCCTTCTCCTCAAGGGGCCCACTCCTACCCCTCCATAACGGGCTTAAATGAAAGAAGGACACCATACGAAGCCATGGTCTCCAACCTAGAAGCGATGGCCTCCACCTAATAGCGAAGGAAACCATACTAAATCTGATTTATTATGATTTCCTTCTTTGGTTAATCCATTTTTGCAAGAAACAGCTTCCTGCGCAGCGCTGCAGGAGCAGTCTCACGACAAGTTTCACTCTGCCTTCGCGGCTTTTCCATGGGAACTGCTAGAGGCAGGATGAAGCACAAAGAAAGGACGTAATGGAGAAGAACAACTTTTAAAGGCCTAAAATGAATGCTACTAGGAGCAAAGGGCATCGCTACTAGGGGCTCCTGGCATCGCTACTAGTAACAAGAAGCTACTAGTAGCAAGGACGCTACGCAACACGTTCTTTTTGGTATAGCGTAGCGTCCTTGCTACTAGTAGCGTTCTTGCTCCTAGTAGGGATGCCAGGAGCCCCTAGTAGCGATGCCAGGAGCCCCTGGTAGCGATGCCCTTTGCTCGTAGTAGCATTCATTTGCAACACGTTTCCGCTGCAGGTCTTCTCGCCTCCACCAAAGGTCTCCTTTTCGTGGCGCCACTGGGGACACTTCACAGGCAGCTACGAAGGTGCGAAGATTCGACGGCAAGCCACTTGTTCCTAGTAGCGTGGCACTTGTTCCTACTAGCTTCTTGTTCCTACTAGTAATGC